AAGAGTGTCCTACGAGAGTGTCCCAGAAGAGTGACAAACAAGAGTGCACCACAAGAGTGTCCCACAAGAGTCTCCTGCAAGAGTGCCCCACAAGAATGTCCCACAAGAGTGTCCCACAAGAGCGTCCTACAAGAGTGTCCCACAAGAGTGTCCTACAAGAGTTTTCCGCAAGAGTGTCCCACAAGAGTGAGTGTCATACAAGATGTCCCACAAGAGTGCACAAGAGTGTCCCACAAAGGTTTCCGAAAAGAATGTGTCTACCGGAGTTTCCCACAAAAGTGTGTCTTACAACAGTGTCAAATTGTTTGGGTGTTTGTTTTTGAATACATGTTTGCATTCGGGTTCGTGGGTTCCATCTTATTATTTATGTTTGTTCATTTTCGGCTTAATTACAGCAACAAATGATGTACTGGAGGGTTCGATAGTGACCAATTCACAGCCAACAGTTTTCGTCCACGCCTGAAAACTGATATTCTGCACCGCAGGGGATTGAGCATTGCTGAATCGGGCAAAGTTCCCGAGCCTTTGCACGGTTGGAATGCGCCAAAGTCCATCCAAACGTTGCATATCCGCAATGCATTGGATGTAGATGGGAGGGTGCCTCTTAGTCAAATTGCGGCTGTCACATGGTGATTCTCGGAAGGCCTCTCAATGGCTGAAAAGCTGAATGTGAATGCTTCAGTCAAGGACTAGTCACCTCCATCGATACATACATGCAGCATGCATATACATGCGCCTGTTCTCGTACGCACACGCATCGTGCAAACACAGAGTACATATGGAATGCATATTCATTCATAGACGGACAAGGACATAGTAGGACATATATACATGGACACACGTTCCCTCCAACAAAAATGGAAGTGGGCAATCCCCGCTCTGTAGAGGAACAATTGTTTTTCCAAAGGCCATTTTCCACTTCCATGATGGTTTCAGGGAGAGTGCCATACTCACAACAGCGAATCATCTGAGACGAGGGGACGACAGTTCTCACTCTCGCCTCACGGTGTTGCAGTCCGTTTGCTTGGTTTGGACCTTTTTCCATGTTGGGTCGTTTAATGCTAGGTTGGTAGATGTTGTTAAGCTATCAGTGGAAACCATTGTTGCAGAGCAATGTGAATTCCCCTGATGAGTTGGGACACCTGTTTCAACATCCTGTTTTTGATAGCCATCCACTCTTGGACATCCTTGTGCAATGATATCCATAACTTCCATCACATCATCTCTCGACGAGCATACAACCCACTTTGAGAGAACTGTTTGCTTTGCAAACAAGTACCATGGGAAACTGCGATGAACTGTATCATAAAGTGCCAGAACATACCTTCAACAAAAATTGGCAAGCCCTCTTGCAACATTTTCCCTTTGCACTCAGGGTTTGGTAAAGAGCAAGAACACCTGTTTGTCTAGAAGAACGATGCGGGCCTAGTTGTCGTAGTGGTACTGTTGCATTCCAATTTGTGCTGTTCATCACAGACAAACCATGGTTCGTTCAGCCGAACGGAGGAACCCCGGACCAGACAAGGAAACGCGGGCAACGATCGGCGATCTTGCCACGGGCGGGGGCTTCCTGGTGGCGCTGAAGAGGAGGGGTGTACCGACCCCATGTTCCCGGTCCAAAACGCCGACAGGGTCACAGGGTGAAAGGAGAACGGTGTGGAACTCAAAAAGTAGGGGAGGGAGTCGATCCACCAGTCCTAGTCGATCCGGAACAAGAACTGGTGCTTGGCACCGGTTCTTCGCGGTGCGTGTTTGGAGGGCGGGGGTGGGGAAGATCCTCCTCGGGTCGGTGATGGACCTACAGTTCTACACAAATATTGCAGTGGTGCTGGCATGGTGAACCATGGTAAATCATCCTTCCAGTCTTCGTTTTGCCCTGATGTTGCATACTAAATTAATCCAAATTATGAAGGGGGAGGGAATAGTAAATTGGTTTCCCGTTTTGAAATTGTTCCTAAGGACCGCATATTTTTAGGGTGTCGGAATAACAATAAGGTTCCTTCTCCCAGGGTGTGTTTGTGTGCTTTTATCTGAGCTTAGTTTATATTGTTCAGCCATTGCTTCGCTAGAAAAAATCCTTGCGTAAGCCCTTCTGAGGTTTTGTTTGATTCATGAGACTCCGACCTGAAACACTATTGAAACACATACTTACTACAACTCATCAAAATCATTGCTGCAAAACATTGTATGTGCAAGTCGGTCGCTCTACTTTTTGAGCTTAAAAGCGGCTGTCAAGTGTACACTTCTCGTTTTGTGCGTTTCATCCTTGCGGATCTGCACTCCTCCCTGTCCACCAGGTTTTTTCGTCCGGTGGAGAGCTATTCCAGTTGAAAAATGAGCCGTAGGCCCAAACCGCTTTACACTCCGCACACTTTACATTGGCGGATCTCTAGCATCGTTCCCGTCACTCCATCGCATCTCGGGTCCGTGTGTAGGTTCCCAAGCTGGTCTTCATACATGTTACAAGTAGGTCGTCTGACCATATGGCCTCTGCCTCTGCGTGGCCCTCTGGCATGCTCCGCAGATGGGGCTAGCTCGCTTGCGATTGGCATTCCGCAATTGCCTCGACAGTCTTCACGTCGATGACAGCACTGTCCACTCTCAGCGAACCAAGCCTCCCAGGTTGGTTCTGACCTGAACCGCCTCCTTCGTCCTGTGAGCGAGATCACATGATGCTCATCAGCTCGACTTGGAGGCTCTTCTTGAGGCTCGGCCTGTTCGTGTTCCCGGCCATGAACCTCTTCTGCAGCTGCCATAGAACTTCCTCTTATTCTTGGTGCTTCTGATGGTGCCATCGATGGACCCCCAGGTCTGTTCGTAGGTCTCCCCAGTGATGGAGTCTCATGCCCCAATGCCGTAGGCCTCTGCACGGTCGAGGTTGGACGCCCTGCCAGTGCCCTCGTTCTCGACAAGGATGAAGTGGGAAACCTCTCGGAGCTCCAGTGCCGTAGGCCTCGACATTGATGAAGTTCCTGCCGACTGAGATCTCATTGACCTCACTCTGATGGAGTCCTCATCACTTCCCGGGTTCCATCGGCTCCGACACCTTTGAAGGATCTTCATGAGCACCATTTGCAGAAACATCATCATGACGCTGAGGAGGTACAACACCTGGTCACCTTCCGCATTCTCCTCGGCATCCTTGGTGACATTCTCAGCCATCGCTGCATGGACTTCCTGCAAGGCGGAAAGCACTACAACAATCCTCATGGCCTTCTCCAAGTGGTACTTCGCCACCAACTTCATTGCGCGAGGAGCGACTATGCCCTTGTCTTCCTCATGGACTTCACCAACTGAGTCAGGCTGCCACGACATTCCCATCGTCTGTCTCAGATCGTGGACTCGGGCCACCGGTAGAGCCTTGGTCCCAATGTCGGCAATCAGTTCTCGTCCTGGTTGATACTTTAGTCCCCATTGACCTGACCATTTCAAGTGAGCAGCTCGCACCTTCATCTGGTGCGCCAAGCCCCCGTTGCGCAGATCGCTATAGAGACTGCTGCGGTGTTGTCGCACTTGAGGAACTTTGGAACATCGCACCATTTCATCGACCAGGCGCGCGATGCTGTCACAGACGACCACTGCTTCAATGACTTCGATCAACTCGGCTTCTGCCGTCGATAGTGCAGGAAATGGCTGTTTGCATAGTGGTGCCCCCACCCAGGGTTGTGATCACGCATCCATGGCTGTGTGGGCTCCTCCTGGGGCAAACGAAGCGTCGCTGACAGACTCCAGGATGAAGTTGGCATCTTTTCTATACCATAGTCCAAGCCCCTGTGTGGCATTCAAGTGTCTGATAAGCTGGTACGCCGTTTGAACTGCCCACTTCGGCGCTCGGCTCGTCGCTGAGCAGATCCTGCTGACCACATAGGCAATGTCCGGCCTCGTCTTTGTGGCCAACCAAAGAAGTTCTCCTCCAAGTTGTTGTGCCTCTCGCACTTGTGCAGGTGTTCGATCCAGTTCATCTTCAGGCTCCTGAGCTTCTTTCATGAGTTGGGCACTACTGAGGTCCTCCATGCCATGCCTCCGAACCACTTCCCTCAAGTAGGAACATTGATTGGCAAAGAAGTCTCCCTGTTCTGTTCTGCTCAGCTCCATGCCACTTCTCCCACCTTCCACTATTTCTTTGGCGCCAAACAACATCACATCGTCCACGTACACCAAGGCAAGTCCCTCCACTCGATCTCCATCTCCAGAATCCTTCCGACGCACCAGCCACAGGTTTTCTTCTGCGAAGCTCTGCTGGTACTCGTAGGTGACGTGGTTAACCTGGAAGGACATCTGGCTGATCTCAATGTCCCTGTAGTTTCCCCAGAGTTTCGGAGATTCTCGCAGTCCATAGAGTGCTCTTTCAACCAGCCACATTTCTCCCTCCTTTACCAGTCCCAAGCGGATTAGGATCTTCGGTGTAAGCGTCAGCACCAACCTTTTTCTCTGGGTTGGGTCGCCCTCCTGCTCCTCCGGGATGCAGTCTTCTTGACGATCATGACCTCCCCAATCCCCTTCTTCGTTCTCTTGAGGGCGACCGTGAGAATCTTCAAGTGCCAGCACTTTCTTTCGGTTGCTTTCTTGAAGAGTTCGTAGAGGAGCATTCAGGAAGGCTGTCTTGATGTCCAAGCTGGCAGCGTGCCACCCACGTGATGCGGCCAGTGCCAAAGAGGTCCTCAAGCGAGTAGTATATCAGCACCCCTTGCATAGAGTTGAGCTGCTTCTGAGCGATCGCCTGGGCCCCATCCAGCTCCCTTGAGGTAATTTCCACACACCACCAGACGACAGACCATCTGGGGCTTTCACTGCATGTATGCCCTTTCCAGGGACTATTTCGACCTTGTCACCATGCTCCCTTTGGTAGTAGGCCACTTCCGCTGGTGTCAGCCTTCGAATCGCTTTCTTGCCCTCCAAGGACTGAATCTCCTTCATGATGGCCTCAATCCACAGCGCACGCACGATCCTTGTAGACCTCATCATTCCCCACGATGCGCGTTTGGAGGGTCTCATCTTCGAGAAGTCTTTCCGTGCATGCCACCTGCTCTTGTCTCAGTGCGATCAGGGGCCTCGCGACAGTGGTGGAACTTGTCTCGGAGCCGACCCCACAATCTGGGGGCACCCTGCTTCAACTCTGAGCTCGATGTTGCCCTTTACTGGATGCTCCAAAGTGCAGTTCTCTCCAACCCACTCGATCCGACATCCCAGATCAGGCACCAGTCTTCCAGCAGGAACAATTGGCTCGACGTTTTCGCTGTTGTGGACCAAAGTCTCCCCTTCCGTCATACGAATGTCTTGTGCTTCTCCCACGCCAAGGTCACTCTCACTTGACGGTAGCGCTGAAGGTCTTCCCCTCGAAGTCTTGGCCTCAAGGCATGGGTCGCTCTGGTGTCCAGTAGGCCTTCTCGACCTTGTTGTACCCGAGCGATCTTGACTGCTCGAATGCCCGGTCCACCCTTCTCCCATGCTTGATTCAGCTTTTTCAATGTTGCACCAAGGTCTGTTGCACGCACGATCTAGCCCTTTTTCTTCGAGGTTCATGCCCTTGAGCAATTTGTGCACTTCATCAAGCAGGTTCTTCAGCGGGTCCCCTGCCTTCGTTGCAGTTTCTGATGCCACTTCTGAGGCTGCTGACTGCGAGGATGCCGCCTGCGGAGAGATGGA